GTGTTCCCCCGCCCCGCCCGCGCCTGCCCCAGTCTCTGCGAAGCAGCGCCAGCCTCCCCGGGGAGCGGGCGGGGGAGGCGCCGGGTTCATGTTCCGGGTCGCCGAGCCGAACCCGACCCGAGCTCAGGCGGCGAGAAGGAGCTGGTGAGGCCGCGCCGGGGAACGGAGGGTCCCTGTAGCCGCTCTCGGGAGCTGCCGCTGCCTGCGGCCGAGCGGGGTTGGTCCCGGGGAGGGCCGGTTTGCGGGAACCCCCGGAGGCCTCCGGGGAGAGGGGTGCGAGCCCTTGTTTGTAAAGGAGCAGTGAGCTGGGAGGAGAAACTGGCCCCTTTAGTAAAAACTTGCAAAAAAAAAAAAATTAAAACTTTTGGCGCACTTCAGGGGGCTGTGTGCAGCCATTGTGGTGGGTGCTGCAGGAACGTGAAGTTAGGCACAGTGGTTGCTCTGAAGCTGTTTGGTCTGAAATGGGAATCAACAAGTGTGGTTATACCCTGTGAGCCAGAAGCATGCATGTAGTTCTAGTTCAATATAATCCACGGTTTTACTGTTCTAAGTAATTCCAGGTATTGGTGTAATGATTCTAACAAGCATGTATGTTCTGGCTCTGTAGAAAGGCAAAGTTGAGTAACAGGAGGAGGAAGTCAGAAGGAAGGCACATGTGCTGAAGAGGCAAAAGCAAACTTTGTGGCAGACGGTGGAGCAGTGGAGAGGCTAGTAGTGGAGTGATTGCAGGTGAAAGTAAGGTGGCCCAGGCAGCTACTTGAGAAGCCTTTTATTTTCCTTATGAAATGTGAGGTGTCTTGCAGGGAAATATCATGAAATATTTTTTTTCTAATTGTGAAAAAGAAACTCTTTTGTTTTGTTTTTCCCTAGTGTATGTCCGCAGAGATGGAAACAGTGAAAAACTAAACCACAAAATTTTCATTATCTTATTGTTCATGTAAGCCACAAATTATTCTTGTGGAAAAAGTGTTTCAGTTAAATTTGGTCCTGAGATTGTTCATTGTCTATCATGAGAGCTTGCATTAGTTGGTGTTGTGTATTCCAACTGATAAGGTCTGCTGAATTTCTCTTGAATTAATGGCTAAGGAGAAGAAACCTTGGGCCTTGTTGTATTATGTGTGCAGTACCTGCAGGCAGGGAACCTAGATCTTAAATCTGCTTTTCTTTTCTGTAGATGGGTGAGAAGAGAGAAAGAGAGAGGAGAAGCTTATCATTCAGCTTCCTTAAGTAGTAAACTTTTTCTTCCCCACTTTTGCTGCTACCATTACTTTTTTTCCTGTGCGTGTTTTTGACTTTCTTACATTTTATTTAATTAAACAATCTTCTCAACAGGGTTGTATTTGTCAATGCACTATACATGCATTAGAATAAGTTTGCTAGTTTTCCTAGACATGTTAATTTGCCTAGCATAAATATAACTTTGAAAGTGCTATGAACTACAACAGCAAAAGTAGGGAATGGTGTATGCTAAAGGGTGGAAGTCCTTTGTCTCAGTACTGTTGGGAGTACAGTAGGAATGCTGCCTGAGATGCTCCTAGTGCATATCTTTACTCTGAGAAAGTTTTCATTGTAGATCTGGCCTGTCATAATAGTAATTGAAATCTTCCTTTCTAGTAGAATGTTAATTCCACAGCTATAAGGGCCTCTTAGATTTCTGACTACTGATAGGAGCCGCTGTCTTTTCTCATCCTTGTACATAAGTTATTTAAGAAGCTCTCCTTAAGGGAAATGCATTTGAGAGAAATGTGATGTTAAAGAAATGAAGGAAAATGTCTTTCCAGGTGAAATGCTTGATTTGTAAACTCAAGGAATTTAGCTTCCTAAAAGCATTAAGGTCTTAAAGAAGTTGTTAGATTCTGGTCTGCCACAGAATGAGATTATTCACTTTTGGATGTTAAAGCTGCTCTGAATCTTTTTGGTTTATGAGTGTACATAACAACTTAGAAATAATTTGCATTTTGAATGTGTCCTGGGCACTTGACTCTTATGATTATTATGACTTTGATGTTACAGCAAATTGCCATCATTTGACAGTTCCTGTGATTCTCCACCTTGACAATTAATTAATGAAGTCATATTTCTGAAAAAGGCAGGCATATCAGTAAATGATAGCAATGGGATTGTAAGAGTTGTTACCTCTCTTGATAAATTGTTTCAAATTTCATTTCTGGCTGACCAATTCATTTGCATTAGAGTTTTATTAACTGCAGCTCCTGTCAGTGTCTTCCTGACTGTATACCATTGCTCAGGACTGAACTTTTTTTTTTTTTTCTGTTAAATATTGGTGGTGGAAAATATTGTGTGAAATTTTACATGGGATTTATTATGCTGTTGTGCTTTCTTAGGTAACTAGCAATCGTAGAAAAGTCACATGTGGAAAAGTTGATTATTACAAATTGCCCTGCTGCTGGTTTTTAACAGCATCATCAGCATAATCAGTTAAAATTCCCTTGTTTCTCAAACACTTATAACTTCCTTTTATGTAGGTCAAGTATAGGGATATTCCAAGGCTGGTCTAAAGATTTCTCTCTGCCGAGCTGGTAGCAACAACTGATGAGTGGTATGGGAAGTATGGGAAATGATGGGAAGACCGAAATATTGCCAGCAGTTACCTACAAATTTTATGGGAGCTGTATATTTGATATAGCAAGAGTATGTTAGAAAATCTAGCAAAGGTAGTAGGTAGATGTTTTTAGCTGGAAAATGACGAATCTCATAAATTTTACTTTAAAAGCAAAATCCTTTTGTATTTCTATTTTTTTGGAAAAATGATTTATATACAAGTGTAATTTTCTGGGAACAAAAAAAAAATGACATACCTTGAAGATGAAAAATAGCCTGAGGCTTTTGTCTTATTTTCCCTTTTCAAATACAAGTATAATTCCATACAATATTCTGACTTCTCATAAGTCCTAGATTCCTGCCACTGCTCATACTATCTTATGTGAAACTCAAAATAAGTTTTACATTTCAATTTCTCTTCTGTTGTGACGTTGTGTGATACTTTTGTTTTATTAAAACAATTAAACTTATCAAGTTTCTTTGATTTGAATCTTAAAGGTACCCCGAAGGTGTTGCCAGAGAGTTGACTCAGTCTTTACAGCAAGCACAGAAAACAGAAGAGTAGATGAGTTTGCTGCAATTCTGCATAGCCCCATAGCTAGCCAGTTTGGCACCTGGCAATGTTGGGTATTTTTGGGTAGCTGATTGTCCAGCTTAAAGATAGAGGTGAGCTGGATGCTTTGGTTCTCCTGTCAAGTAATGGTGAGTGATGACAGGCAAGCTAAAATAACCTAGCCCTGTTTTCTATTTCATTTGTTTCTGATGTGTGCCATACCTTTTGTGTAACATAGACGAGTGAATAACTGATAGACCTACTACAGTCTCTGTGGGATGTTTAAAACTTAAAAGGAGTTGATCTGTTTTCCTCACCTCTTGGACTGTAGTCCGAGGAACGTGGTGTCTGTCTTTCTTTCGTGCATGCACACATTCTTTTGTGTGCACTTCCTCTTTTTTAAATCAATATTGTTCAAATTCAATAGTAAAGCGGAGGTCTCAAAATTATGTTTCGTGAAGCTTCGTGAAAATAACAGAAAGTTGAGTTTTGTGATCCCAACGAACATGGAAGTACTTGTGGCTGGTTTCCTTGTCTTTCTTACTTGTTTTCTTGTGCTTTTAGCTTGTGGTCATGAAGAATGGTTGCGAAGAGATCAAAAATCATGGTTCTGAGGGAACTACTTTCCTCCAGACTTATTATTGGAGGTTACTGTAACTTTTTTAGAATTTGAGACAGAGATTTTGAGTGGTAAGACCTCTATATTGCCAGGCTTTTTAGGTAAGAAGTGAACTAGAAATATGGTACTTGGCACTGAAAAAATAAATGCTTGTTATTTCAGTTAGTGGTTTTGGTAACGAATTATAATAGTGATCACATGCTTTGTTAACTGTTTTGGAGTACCTAAAGGCCGTTATGTCATTTCCTGCAAAAGGTACTTGTGTTGTTGTTTCTGGTAACAGATAGAGAGGAAATGGGTCAGCCTTTAGTGAACTACATTTACAATTGCTTCAGGTAAATGTAAAGGTCAATGTAGGCACACTGTATTTTCTTACAGTAAAATAGTATCTTTTCCTAGCTAAGACATTACAGTTTATTGCTAGCTATGGGCTGTTGCTATAGCAGCATTTTTATAGACTGTGTGAGTTATATTAAACTGTGGCCTAACTTAATATTTTATATATCTTAATATGTTGTCCTATGCTTTGTATTACAAACTTCAAAATTTCTCACCTTACTGAGTGCAGTAAGTACTTGCTGATTACATCTTTGTCTGTTTTTCATTAGTATTGTTGTTTTTCAAACTATTTTCTGTACAGATATTTTTACTACAGCAACATCACAGAAAGAAATAAAATACAGGTTTGGAATACAAGCTTGACAGTTAGTTGTGAACAATATAAAAAGTTGCAGAAACTTGAATTGTCTGACAACAGTACCATAATAAAAGTGTGGCCCCTGAATTTTGAAAATAACTTTTCAGACTAAATATCCAGACTAGTTGCTTTTGCCATTTTTTTTTCCTTTAACCATAGCAAGAGAAATGACAGCTCCAGTAAAATTAAGCAAAAGTAATTTCTTTGACTTCCAGGAGTAGTAAATGTTTGATGTTGATCCATGTTAAAGTTGCAGTGTGGGTGAAAATCTGAAGTGTGATGTGTTGTGTATTCCGACTGTGTTACGAAGGAGCTTCTGATGTCCCAGACTGATGAAGTAATTCTCATAATCATACTGAGGAAGCATGCTAAAGTAATTATAATATGAGTTTGTCTGTTCTCTACCAGGTATAATGCAGTTAGCGTACAGATATATTATTCCTGAGATCACTGCTGTAATATGTAGGGTAAACAAGGTCATTGCCCCATTAGAGCTCTTATTCAATTTGGGTGCTGCAGCTCAGAGATCAATGAAAAGATTTAATATTCAGTAGAAAAGATTAATTGTAGGAGTTCATAAGATTTAAAGTTGCTGTCTGAGAGGGACTAAGTGCCTTACTGCGAAAGGCTGCTTAGGAATTGTACTATCCCCCTTACTTGGAAAACATTTATGATGTTCATTTCTAAGTTTTGTCTTCTGAACTGGCACCATTTGTACTGGGAAACTCACAACAAGGTTAGATCAGATATATGAATGCAAAGTGGAAAAGTTCTGCTTTATCTAACAGTATGTAACTTTACCACACTACTTACGACATTATCTGGAATAAATTGGTATGCCCGCTCAAAGAGCTACATTGATTTTGTTGATACAGTTATCCATATGGATTAGGGTCTGTGAATTGAAGAAATTAATCATAAGATGTGGGCTGAGGCATTAGTTTCCCTTCTCTTCCTCCCCCTTTACTTTCTGCTACTACGCCTGCAGCACAAAGGGCCGGAAGAAATGATATGCTCACTACTTAACAGTTCACATTCTGGCATGTTTGCAGAAGTCTGTCCTCTCTGAGGTGAGTTGCCCATTAGCTGAGTTGTTGGTGCACTTGTTTCAGCTCCGTTATGGATGTGGAGACCTGTGGCAGAAAGGCTGGTCAGGTAGCTTGAGGACGTAGCTATGAACTAGCCTAAATAAATCCACTGGAGCACATCTGTCTGAGCCTTATGCTCCTGTTCATCTCAGAAGTATTAGAAAAACCCTTATATCTCAAGACACCATTTTTGATGTATATCTGAAAAGAGCTGTCTTTGTGGGCATTAAAAATGAGGCTAGAGAGGCTAGTGCCCTGTTCACAGGGCAGCTTTTATAGCTGCAGAGAAATATGTGCTAATGTATCCGACTTTGTATACTCTTTGTGTCATGTATACAAGAC